AAGGAGCCAATATTTTGGTCAATGACAATGGCGAGGCAGCCCTAGCTGACTTTGGACTGAGTGTTGTCATCGCTGCCGCAGGAGACTCTGCCACAAGCACCTTCACTGGCGGCAGCGTACGCTGGATGGCACCTGAGGTCTTGTTTTTATCGCCCCACGATGCCTCGCCAAAGACATGTGCGAGCGATACTTACTCATATGGCAGTGTCGTGTTGGAGGTGTGACAAATGGACATTCTTCGGTGCGGACAGAGCTGACAATCGAGCATTTAGATTCTTACAGGCGAACCTCCTTATAAGGAACTTTCGAATGACCTGCAAGTTCTTAACCAAGTGATGCAAGGGTACAAACCCAAACGCCCACTGAAACCAGTTGTCAACCCTGGCGTTTGGGACCTAATGGAGCGCTGTTGGAGCGTTCCCGCATCTGAACGACCTCAGATGGCCTTCGTGCTGTCTCGCATGGAAGTTTTTTATTGCGACGGGAGAAACTCAATGCTATCGGAAAACCAAGTTGGCTGTTCTCTCTGATGAGAAGCCCTCAAGCTTGTATTACAGTGACTCCATTGGACTCTTGCACTGTATTGTTTACTCCATGTACTCAAACTAATTGCCTTTTCTCAGATGTTGTAAAACAAATGTACTAGTAGGACATTCGTCGTTCATGAACAATATCCCTCTATGTAAGTGTCGACAACGAGACCTAGTCGCTTTGACCACTTCATCTGCTGGTAGTTTAAGATAAGAGCCCCGGTACAACTAAAGTAAGAGAATGATCCACAACGTCCACAGCACAATCCAGTCTCAGAGGCGTATTATCGAGGCATTTGATACTAATACTATTAAAGAATGAATGCTTTTCTCAATGTCATTCATGAAAACAACCACGAAGTAGGTATCAATTAATTGAGGGTGAAAGTCTGTCGCCACAGACCAACGACGAACGAAATTTAAGCAATGAAGATATTCTGAATTGACACAAGATCTAACATTGATCTAGAACGTGTACATAATTGTGAGTCGAGTATGTAAATTAACAATAGTCTGATTAATTGATTTGTGCCAAAGGAGAAAATACCCCGTACAAGGTTATTATGACTTTGGGGGGGGGAAAAGGCAGAAACACGAAGGATGCGGTATACGTTGGTGAGTCCAACGAAAGCAACCCACTCTCCATCGAACTGTATCATGATGTCCCTTGAAATCGGGAGTGTATCCAATAATTTCACGACAAGCATCTCCACATAGGTGATGCTGCCGCTTGATTTTGCATGTTTCGGGATGCACGGCGTTGGAAAGGTTCGACCTAAATGATATCATCTGCCCCTAATAGTGTTGGAACTGACGAGAAGCACTTGCTTTAGACGAAGAGGGAATGCTCGCATCTTTGTGTATTATGATCTAAGACTATGGAATATTATTACTACTCTCTTACGCGTACGACCGCCTTGGCTGTGGTCTTATTTGTTGTTGAGTCGTTGTGCCGCGATCCTGCCTCGCTCTTTTTTCCTTTCTCACCCATAACTTCCAATGCGAGGTCGTACAAACAAATAGATATCAGACTGTGTCTAACATGTGCCGACGCCGTCTCCTCCGCTGTCCGACATCGGTTATCTTGCTTCGTCGAACTGTTTCTTTCCTGGGTGCAATTTATCTACGTACGGTGTCATTTCGTGCGGATGTCGCATTCTAATTTGGCGCGATATTCGTTCGCAGTGGTCATCCAGAGACGGACTATACGCTACAGCTCTCCTGTCTCAGCCAAAAAAAGACGCTTTGTTTCACGGCGGTGTTGTCAAACCTTAGCTCATTATTCCCTTGGCAGATTATTACTCCGGGGGTTTGTCACCCTTGGCAACGTGGTGTTTTCTACAGTCTCTTCATTATGTCTCTCAACTGGAAAATTGCACCGATATCGAAACATACATTTGAATGGGGTACACACCATGGTAACGGAATCCATCAATGTCAGAACTGCGGTGTTATTCTGTTGACTGGAGAGCGTCCCGGTTTCTGTTGTGGTAGTGGTGGAAATCAATTGGCAGACGTACCGCCGCTTCCTGAACTTCCGCAAGAATTCGATGTGTTTTCGGATGATGAAAACGTATCAAAGCTATCTCGTGTCTTGAATCTGATATATTCATTCGCGTTCTTGGAGTTTTCAGCAGAGTTTCCTGTATTCGATGGACCGCCCGGGTTTTTCGCTGTCGAAGGAAAGTTGTTCCACCGTGTTCGTTCAACGCATCGAGACTCTGCAGTTCGATGGCTGCTGTATGATGGTTTGATTCACGCCTTCGCTCCTCACCAACGATGGGTGGATACTGCCATGTTAAGGATCAATCCTTTCGCGTCTAAGCTGTGGCTCACGCACCCTTTGGAAATTCGTCAGGCATCACTGATGTTGAACAAAGACAATGTTATGTCAACATCCAACAGCTAACATTGGATTGAGTTGCGATTGATCTGACTCACTCTGTCTTTTCGCATGGCCAATTGTACACCGCCCTTTCGAGAGTCAGGCAAGTTCATGTGACTGTCGTGTGCGTCTGCCTCCATTTCAAACGAAGACTGTTAATATTGTCTACCATGTACTACTTACTTGACAACTTTTCTATGAGTTCAATAATCGATATACTGCACTGTACCACCAGGATGAGCCGGCGCAAAGCGCCGGCGTTCCTTGTGTGAATTTATCCATCATTCAGCTGCTAATGCAACCGGTCCCGTCGCACTTGCTGACTATGTAATAAGTAAGCTATGGCTCACAATCTCATGATTAACAAGATATAATAATTGACCCAAGACATCAGAGACTTGGTGACGGAACGATGCATTACATAAGATATTAGTTATCCGTAAATAGACGATGGTTCGGCGGCGCGGGTCGTTCGCTGGAATTTGCACAATACCGAAGCATAAAAAGCTCTATTCAACCGACAGTGATGTCAGAAAAAAATTGTGAGCACCGACTTTTTGATGGAATGTATGCTTCAACTTTAATAATGCAGGAAGATTCGATTTCAACTGCGCAAATAGGTATTCCGATGCAAAGTGCACGCATCTTCGGACATCGGAAGCCCAGGAGATGTCCACCACCATCAAATGCACCGAGTCTTCATCTAGCCTTTCTCGTCCTTCTAGTGCTGTCATAGCTGTATAAGTACAGGAGAAAATGTGTGTTTTGGTAATTCAGTCTGAATCCACTCTCTACCAACAATGTACTTCTTAAGCACCGCATGGATACTCGTACCAGCAATCCTCAGCTTCAATCACGTCTTAGGGCAAAACTGTCCGTGTGGATTCGTCGACTCAAACAGACGTGTATGGGTATGTACTACCACACGTACTAAATGTTTTACTCTCACACACTTATTAAAATATATCTTAATTCTATCAGCGTGAATCGATCGTGTCTACTTTCACCCAGCCAATAGGACCCCTTCCAGCTGTCGCTGCAGACTGGAATATTGCCTCTGACTCTGGAGTACAGAAACCAACGGGTTTCAAGATGCAGTATGTTGCGTCGAACGTGTTTGCTTTCAATGATGGATTAGGATTGCAGACTTCTGCGGTGAGTCTTGGATTTTTTTTGGTTACCTAAGTATGGTAATGATTCGTAAACTTGCAGTATACTGGAGATGGAACGATCAGGACAGCAGAAATCGACACAAAGGTCAATATCTATTTTTTTTCTTGTCTATGAAGTTTTTTTTTTGGAACGACTTACATTCTCTAATTTGCAGAGAGGCGATATACTTTACGGGACTTTCAGGATGAGAGCACAAATTCCTTCTGTTCCCGGCGTTGTTTTCGGTCAGCAAAGCGGCTTATAGTGTTTGAATGGCTTGACCAAGTCCATTTTACAGGGTTTTTCACGTATAAAGGTGACTCACAGGAACAAGACATCGAGTTCGTATCCGCAGACCCCAATTATTCTCAAACTGTGCATTACACCAATCAACCGGGAACAGTCAATGGCAACGTCGATCCTGCTGCTTCCAAAGTAAATCTCTTTAGATTTTTGAAACAGAAATACATACTAATACCTGTCAACTTAGACTGTCATAATCAACGCTGACCTCACGTGAGCAGAATGGTTCTCTGGTGAAAGCGTGGGAATCTAACAGACGATGTTGAATGGACGCATAAAGGGAGTTCTCAAACCATCGTCTCGACTGGATCCCCGGACAAACTCTTTACTACTTCAATAACACGTTGCAAACTGTACGTCGACGTATAGACCTTCATTGTCCAACAACAGATTTCTTTGTTTCTCAGACCATATCAAAGAATGTCCCCGTCACACCTTCAAATGTCATACTCAACGTCTGGAGCAACGGAGACCCGTACGTCATATCACCTGTAATTAATTCCTCTAAGCACTAATATGGTTCCTTCCATAGCCAATTTTCGAAGGGTCCTCCCACTCAAGATGCTATTGCCACTATCCAGAATGTCCAACTCTACTTTAATTCATCGGAGATCTCGGATAGTACGTTCCAGACCACATGTGCAAATGCAGGTCGTCCCGCAGCATGTGCGATTTGAGGTGATTCAAAGTCCGCACTATGCAATGCATGGCTGGCATTGTAGATTTTGAATTTTTATTCAGAGATTATCTATTCAAACTACGGAGTGACTACGTTGCGGTGATAATTTGAGGGGCAGTCATACGTGCTTTTCGTCAATGGCTGATACAACTGCGGTATGTTCAAGTTCAAGTTTTTTCTTTGAGTGTCTCTTGCAAAATACTCCAATATTTCCACGATCATCTACGAACAGTTGTTCGCAGAAGCAGGATATGCGTAGCCCTTCACTATGGTGATCCTGCTTGAAGAAACGGTCAAACCAATGTGTAACTAGCAGGAAGCAGGTGATTCCATGGATTGGTCATAATATCTTGCTGCATATTATTAGTCTGCAGGAGTTGCGCACCACATAGACCGTGAAGAATGGTCTCTTAAGGGTTCATATATACATATAAAAAGCCTCCTACATTCAGGCTTGGTAGTCTAGTGGTCTATGATTCCCGCTTTGGGTTATACTTGTATGGCATTGCGGGGGGTCCCGAGTTCAACTCTCGGCCAAGCCCTTTTTTGCGCGTGCCTGAATCAATTTGTTATCATATAATTTATTTAAACCCTGTATACTAAGGAGAATTTTCTGCGCCGCTGAGAGCGCAGCGTATTAAATTATAACTAAAACAACCACAAGTATTGTAATGCATTATCAAGACAATTGAAGACTCGGTGCATGTGATGGTGGCAGACATCTCTTGGCCTTCCGACGTGACTCAGTCCATTGGCGAAGATCTCGAGTCCCATGCCGCAACGTGTGAACCCTTCATTAATGGAATGTTTGTGCACAGATTGGAATCTGCATTATTAAAATCCAAGCATAGGTACACATTCTATCAAACAGTCGGTGCTCACATTTTTTCCGAAATCACCGAATAGAACTTTATCGTTCGGTGTTGTGAAAATTTCAGCGAGCACCGCCGAACCCCCATCATCTAATGATAATCAATATATGTAATGCACCATTCCGTCACCAAGTCTGATGCATGGGCAGTCCAGTCCAGGCAGGCCTCCTGAGTCCTGGGTCGATTATTATATCAAATATGATCATCAGATCATGAGCCATAGCTCACCAAATTCTTACCAACAGGTATTTTAGTGTCAACCTGAATGTATATGACCATAGACTAGGTTGAAAACAATATGTTTCTTCATCATTATATAACTACAGCACTACCTAAGCTACTAGCACCCCAAGCCGCACTTATCATTGACATTTCTTGAAAGCACCGGTTTTACAAGGCATAGGATAGGACGAGTCGATCAGGTCAGTGTTATGACGTCAAACCAGAAGCGTTATGGCTCAGTATTCTGTTTTGTGGCAGAGAAGCTTGTGTTGCGAGCCCTACAGGAAGGTCCAATGCAGGCGTTGATGTTCAGGGGAACACTATGCAACAAGCATGATTAGCAAACATAAGACACCATCTGTTGTGCGTTCAAGCTTACATAGCAGGCTATTTGGCATCTGCGAAGTCAGACGATAAGCGCGAGGTCTCAGGGAATATGAAGTGGGACTTACTTGCTGCATACCTTGTGTGCTTTCTTGTCACAAGGAGGAAAACCACAAACATCCAAGTTCTTAAACATCTTCCTCACCTTCTTCACATCGTCCTTGATTTCTGTGGGATTGGTAATCTGCATCCAAGTTCGCAAACCAGCGGTACCGATTATCATATTACTGTCGGAATAACGTAGAGCCCATTTTTTTCAGCCATGGCACTAGACCCTCGCGTGTGGCTCTTGGAACAACCGTGTTCTGATCGGCTTCCTTCACAAACACGGTCAACAAGGTACTAAGCAGTTGCACTGCAGACCCTGCTATGATCTCATAATGGACCTCTGGCAGGTCACTGGCCTTGCTCAACATAAAATGATCCCAGACTGGTGCCCGTTCTAACAAACGCTCTGCAAGAACACGGGGAAGGCGTTTTCCATCGGCGGCTATAGGTGACTTTGAACGGAGATACTTTGCAAAGTACGGGCTGTGCTGAATCTGTACGAGCATTTGGAAATATGCATTCCAAAGTTTGTGGTCGTCGAGAATTCGAGTGTCACATTTGATACCACAGCTGTGAGAGTCGAGTTCGACATCAATAGGAGGAGGAACGTGGAAGCGGGAGACGGTTCCAGGCAAATAGAGTACACAGAACCGTGCCCAGATGACCTCCTGTTGGTGTTCGGTTTCTTGTCGGTTGCGCTCGAGCTGGTATTCGATGTCTATAAGTGCACAAGGAGTGCCATGGGTCAAAATGTTATTCGCACATATATTTCGAGAAAGTATAGCTTTTCTATCTCTTTTTTGCTCCCCTTCCGTCTTTGTAAATGCTCTCCTTGAGCCCTGTCTCGAGAGTGGGTTATTGACATTGAATATAATCCTATGTGAAGAGACACTGACCAAGGAGCACGGCAAAGTCATTGGACATGACCATATCCATCTTTGCAAGTTCCGCATCGTTGAGGCTCATGGCACTGTAAATGGAACAAATACTATCACGTGACGAGTCTTACGTTTGAGACGTTGGCGAATACCTAGCTGAAAGTGTTGGAATACATCATTGTCGACACATCGCAGTGAATTTTTCCAAAGACTCGTTATGTGCGATAGTATACCTACGTGCATGTACACTAAGCCCATTTCTTTCTGCCCTGTTGAGAGCACAGGTATTAAATTCGTAACTTGTAACCCGCATTATCAAGACAACAGTGTAAATAGTGAGCCGCCTGAATTCAGACACAAGGTAGTCTATTTTAATTTAAGAAGTGATTGGCCGGGACTAGCAGCCTAAAACAGTGAAATGACTCCCCGGAGGAAGCTCCATAGTACCGCACCCGAAATCGCAGGCAGTGTCAAATTGTCGTCCAAATCACCGAGGTCTGAGTGTCATCACAATCAGAATGGCTTGGGTAATAAACACAGAGCAACGCACCAAGCGCCTCGACAACGCCACCAACAATGGCTGTAGCAACACTAAGCATTCCTAGCCCAAACCATCCACCAACAACAGGGTTATCCCACGTCCATACTGCTTCTGAACCACGAACAGGGGCCAACCAACCCCAAAAGCCAAATGCGACAATGCCTGAGGTAAGAGAAGCAGCAATGAATCCTGCCAGCGATTTTCGCGGCGCCAAGGGGAGACCAAAGCGAGTAGGTAAGAACGGAATTATAGGGAGGTGGGAGGGGAGTGCTGGGGTATAGCGGCCCCAGAGCCGTCCGAATGTGGACGCAGTCGTGTCAGCCCACGATAATCTGAGGCATGGAGATGAGTGCGTCTATCAATAAGACGAGTGAGAACCAAACATACACCAAAATGGAGACAACCGCGATATCAAGAGGGTATGCAATCAAAGCAACAAGCGCACCAAGGATGTACCAGATCACGCCGTTGATTTTATGCTATAAACCGGAATAATGTTAACGAAAGATTGTGCCATGGTACTATGTACCCACCTTTTCGCTGTCACGCATAAGAAAACCTAAGCAGCTTCCATAAAAACGTGAAAAGGCGGCATTATGAAGACGCAAGGCGTCTGCCGCGGAAATGACTACTAACGCTCCAGTTAGGCCGATGATGATCGGACGCGTCGAGTAGCCATGTGTGTAGAGCGGAACGACAAAAAATCCTGTGTAGTGTTAAAACAGAGAATAATGCTAGTGCTGAGCAGTACCTATAGAGGCGTGTAATGTTTTACGAGGAATCTCCCAATCAATCTTTTTTACAACTGAATCTCCAGCAAGACGGCTTTGCTCTTGTCGTGTCTTCACATCACGGGGGTCGTCTTCCCCAATGTCATGTAAAAAACTAACATTGGGGCTGTTATGAGAGGGCCGCTTCGAGTTCCTCCGTGCAAGTTTGCCAATGCCCATCGACACGGCGTTTGGGGAGGGTGATCGCGTGCTCGGACGAGGGGAACGTCGCGAGTGAGTATAAGAGTAGCGGTTGTTGAGAGTGAAAGCGTCATTTGCAGGTGTCATTGCCATGTCTGCGTCGTGAGCATGGAAAAGGCTGTCGTGAGCAATAAGTTGGGAGGAAGCGTGAAAGTGTGGACAAAGGCGTGACACGGCGTCACTCGGCTAACTGACGTTGCGAGCGCTTGAGCTATCACTTGAGACAAACCAGCAGTTATCCGAAAAAGAAACTAGCGAAGAATACAATAATTCGAAAATGCAGGACAGGAATACACCTAAATCTAACCTCCTACACCGCCATTTAGGCCATGCCATACCCCACCAACCGCAGTTGCTGTGACAGGTACAGTTGGTTTGCGTGTTGCTGCCGTTCGGTTTGGGATTGACTTCGGTAGGAGTGTCGTACTCGGGGTATCCAGTGTGAAGTGGTAGCCAGTCCCTATCTTTGGCAGCGCGACATTGCTTTCACTCCTGTCAAGGATAGGGTAGGGTGCTGCTGGAGGGGTTAATGCCGATCGATATTTGTTAGTTGCTGCAGAATGGCTTGACCAGAAACTATCATATGTCAATGCTACATTGGAACCAGGCATGGAAGAAGAATGTTTCATGGCTGGAGAATGGCCTCTTGACCGCGAAGAGGATGAGGATGAGGGCATCTGAGGATGTCGGGGGATCGGAGGATGTCGAGAGGGTGGAGGGGGAACAATAGCAGTCCGGGTGGGAGCATATGGTATGCGTGCATATACTGAAGGTTGTTCGACCTGGGTGTTCGGCGTTGTCTGTCCTGATGGAAGGGGGGCCATTGTAGTTGTGGGTACAAGAGGCTTAGAAACGGCAGGAGGCTGAGGTGTAGGTGGGGAAGTAATGGTGGTTGATAAATTATGTGGCTGCGGCGATGCGGTTGTTATTGCCGGAGTAGGTTCAGCTATTGGAGTGGGTGATGGCGCAAGAGGAGGATCGACTTGCATTTCTAATGCCTTCTCTTCATCAGGTGCATCTATGACGGATGTTGGGATGACGCATGAGGGCGATGCTTCCTGTTGCTCATTCATGTTCTCGGGGAGTGGGACAGCATCTGAGCTCGCACTAGCTGTTGTATGTTCCAAAGGAGTTTGTGATAATTGAGACCCTGAGTTAGCATTGCTCTTCTCTTGCTTCAAGGTATTTCTTGGCGGTGCTCGGGCCCGATAGTGGTGAAAGTATAAGTTCTCGACTTCGTTCAGCGTTTGTTTTTGCTGGGCCGTCCGTCGTCAACTAGCATTCCGACCTAAAACCTGGAGGACATACCCAACCATGATGAACCTTCAGCCGGGCATATTGAAGTCTTGTTTGGAGCTGTCTAGAAAGCTGGTAGCCAAAGCCGCCCTCAATTTATGCATGCGAGGAGGCGGAATAGTACGTACGTGTGCTGCCTTCGCCTTTTCGATCTGTTTTCTGCGCTTTTCTAGAGTGTCAGCAAGTAGAAATTCCGGGGTGTTCATAGTTGTAGGTACCCTAGAGCAAGGGCAAGGAGTAATCGCGCCTTAAGGCAGAAAAGTGTGTGCGGCACGAGATGTAAATAAGCGCGCAATAGGTCACGTGCCAGATTTCAACCACAATTTAGAG